CGTCACTGTTCCTGTATATCGCTAAAAGTAGAATGATCCGAATTTTTTTTTAAACATGCATAACTACAAAGATTTGGGTGAAAAGTTGATTTGACCTTGGAATGATACCGAAGGATCAACTTGAATCATAACATGACAACATACAAGATATTTTGTACCTTATGTCAAAGTATGCGAACGTACTGCTTTGGAGCCTCATAATTCGAAAATTACTGAATGAAAAAATATTTTAATATAGTGTTTTGGAAAGCTCTCGAGATAACCTACAAGAATATGTAACGAGAAATAGTAGGTTCCATTTAAGAAATTGAAGGTAACCTTCATGTGACCTTCAAATTACTCTTCAAGGTCAAACCTATGGTACCATCTTATGTCCCCCTCGAAACCATACAACTTTTGTCTGAAACATTTTTTCATATCTCTTTTAGTTTTTTAAAAAATCGACTGTATAAATTAAAATGGCCCACCCTGTATATACTATATAGTATTTAATGTAAATTTGATACATTTGAGCATTAAAATCCCTTAGCTTAGATATAAATACGAGTATATATTAATATTTCTTTGTGTTATGCAATTCAGTATGGTCCATTTATCTCCTATCGTTATTATATTCTTACCTTCTGTTATTGTATTTTGATTGTAAGAAATAAGTACGTCTATGCATTCTCAGGTTTTGAGAAACTTAAGTGTAGTCGCATTAAAGAATTTCTCTTCTTAAAACGCCAATTGTTAAATCGAAAAGACAAATTCTTTCACAGGTACAGCAGCCATCGGAGACACGTAAGTGTCTCATAATATAAAGATACGTTATATCTTTCGCGAGAAAATAAATATTAATTTCAGAGTTAATCTCTTATTAAATGTGACAAAGGTATGCACGTCTTACTTTTACGTATATGTTTTATCCGTTTATGGTTTATTACGTAATTGTTTTTCATTCGACTTCTTTTGGATCGAGCATCGTATCGATCGATACGTTCCATGTCAATCTATATACCTTTCTCTCGTTTACGACAACGCGATATGGACAAAGACTCGAGTAAACAAAAATATATGGGTTGATGCACCGCAACATACCATGTCATACTACCCTGAATTCTTGGTTCTGCGGTTAGCGGAACCGCGAGCAACACGCCCGAGATACGTTTCTGAAATTTAAGGTCCGGTTGCGGCGTCAAGTGTCAACGGTGTAGAATGCATATCATAAGCGCGAATGAAATTGGAGCATGCTGCGGTGCCGCATCCCACGCGTTATTGTCTCTGCCTTTCATCGTGCATTCAATTAGCGAGTTCGACCTCGTGCATCTCTCTCTCTCTCTCTCTCTCTCTCTCTCTCTCTCTCTCTCTCTCTCTCTCTCTCTCTCTCTCTTTTTCGTTGTCAAATTGCACTTCTGAAAACTCTGCAGAGAGACGTCTCGTAAATTGATAGCTGCACACAAATCTGAATTATTTATGTCATGCTATAATATACTTGTGTAAAAATCTGCAAGTTTTAGCGAAACTTTTCTCCAAAAGATGCTCATGCAAATTATGCTAAGAGCGATATTACGTTTTTGAAACGAAGACAAGTGTCTTGTGATTATTAAATGTATTATTTTATTTTATTGTTAGTTTATATTTAATTAAATTCTTAGAAAATCTCATTGTATAGTTTACCTGATGGGGCTGGATTCACTCGGTGGACTCCCTGTATATACTTGGAAAAATTTCATATATATAACGAAAAATGTTTTCATATCATGAACATGTTTTTGAGAGACAATTCTGCACGAGTTACTTGTTTCTTTTTTTTTTATAGAAAAGTCGCAGTATTTCAGCAAGTTAGCACGACGGCTCTGTGAAGGCAGGGACCTTGGCAGCCCTCGCGAAGTCCTGGCCACAGGACCGACCTGATCCTGGTCCCGTGCGGATTCGGGGAAGCGTGATGCCTCACGTGCACGTCTCTGCGGAACTCGAGACTCTGCGCCGCATCGAGCACCAGCGGCGTGGAACGTGCCAGGCACGCCCAGGCCAAAGTGGAGCAGGCGATGGCGTAATTCTTGACCTCGGCGCAGCCATGCAGACACGGAAAGTCGTACAGTGTCCTCTCCAACTGGCTGACCACCTGCTCGGCGACCTCACGGGAACCGGTCTGCGCCCCGGAAGTGGCCAGCTGTCTCTTTATGCATTCCTCGAGCTCCGGGGTCGCCGCCGCTGTCTGGGCCGCGGCCGCGCCGTTCAGGATCTTCAAGGCTTCCAGGCGCCTCGACGTCTGGACCATGCCAGCTAGACGCCACGAGAGCTGCGGAGGTCAAAATGATGATTAGCAGTGGCTGTAGTTGGTGAGTCTCTAATTCCACTCTAAAATGTGCATGTCTCTAAATAGATACGCGCGTCTTCTCGACGAGACGTTGCACATTAAAATATTTAAGACGAACAACAAGTAGAATGCGGAAGGAGTTCGGGCACGTGTCGCGTACGACACTTTTTTTAATACGTAGGACGATTATCATGGACGGATGTTAGACAGAGATTAGAGTTAGAACACGTCCGCTGATTCATGATTGACGTCGAGGTCGTTTTGCAAACGATTAAATGATTTCTTTCATGCGAACATTTGATACTGTGATAGCAGATTAATTTGATGCAGCCATATTTGATAAACACGTTGCAGATATCATTAAAAACCGTATCTTTTATATCTTATTGAGTAAATCGCTATCTTTTCATTAGATGTTTGATAAGTTTTACGGGCTTATAGCAATTTTTCATTTAAAAAATTGTGACAGCAATGTCGCGAAATCTAAAATGTTTAGGACTACTCGCTAAAAGTTGAATTTCTATTCTGAGTTATTAATCTTTACCTTGTCATCGCGATAATTGTGCTGGTCCATTCAGCGTAATTCCAAACACGCGATGACACGATTTGCTTTAATTTCTCTTTCACGAGAATCACTTATTCGAAAGCTTGATGCTATGTGCAAAGTATTAAACGTGTTTTTAATCATATTTTGCGAACACAGTATAAAAATTGTTACCAACACATTTTACCTTTGTCATACTATTACGTCGTGTTTATTAACGCACGTATGTATATGTCAATCGTAATCTATGAAATCGGAGCAGCGGTACTGTCGCAAGAATAGCCCGGTTGCTTTAATTAGATGGTATGCGAGCGCGTTTCTTCTATCTTTTCCCGGTTATCGCGTAATTACGAGGAAATCACGCGGTATCACATGATACGAAAGAAGCCTCCCCGCCATTGGATTTACAGCGATAATTTACGAGCATTGTTGATGAATTACCGCTTTTAACAGCGACTCGTTTTCAACGAGCTAACTGTTTATCCGGTACCGTTACAGGTGGAAAGGTTCGCGTTTGTTGTGTCACAACTCTTGCATTTTTACCTAGATATCTTTTATGAATTCGAAGAAACTGGCCACACAGCGACTTCGATCGGTATGTTACTATGAGCACAACGCGGCATGGTCTTCTCCATTTGTTTGTGTAACCCAGTATTTTCTACCGCTTGAAACAAAAATCCATGTTCTCGGAGTTGATTCACGAGGCACTTAAAAACTTCGACTTTAAAAACTCGACGCAAACGGTTTCCCGATTAAAACATTAAAATTATAACGTACCAGACTGATATCAGAGTCCCTAATTAATTCGTACCCTAATATTTCGTTGAATCGATAATGTAGAAATATTATATTATTTTTATCGGTAAATTATTCCAAAGAGAATTATATTTCAAGAGCGCAATCATTTTATCCAGGCTGATATATAAGTAAAAAAATTATAATATAAAAACTGAGGATGATATCAATTGTCAATTGTTATGAAGGAGTATTTAAGCTATCGTTAGTTAATTCTCATAAACGGATCCATGAATTTTGGGTGGATATTAATATCGAGAATGCCGAACGTTACTGATACACGAAATTCCACGAAATTGAGTTGGAACTTAGAAAGTTAGACTTGGACTGCTCTGCGTGACCGCCAGCTGAATGTACAGCGTGGTCTGCAAACCACACCGCAGCATTAAATTGAATTGTAATGGGTTGCTAAAGCTGTTATTTGTGTAAGCAGCTACATGAAGAATTGTCTTTAATACACGATATTGTCATCTCTCTCCAAAGTTCTCTTCTGTCATTTACAGTTGAGAGGAGCAGTATTTCTGGGACGCTCACAATCGGTGCAGCACGTGTTGTGGCGTGGGTGTGTAAGAAAGAGCGAGAAAAACGTCTCCGACAGAAAAAAAATCGCCTTGCAATATCTATTTTATCGCGTGCTTCTCGCGTATTCGTGTGTGAAAGCCATCTTTGAGCCACATTTACAGAGCTTGAGTTACATATTAGCCGCGGGACGATAGGCTGACAGATGTATAGACACATCACTCGCGATCGTATAAAAAAAAAGCAACGTTAATGATATTTCGAACATCAGTTGGCTGCATTTTGCAGAACTCGATTTAATTGACACGTTGAGAGAATTAATGAAACAGCTCTACTGCGCGATTAACAAATATATACATAATTTTTGACGGTGTTATCGTTTTGGAGCCAATTAGCAGAACGTTCATTTTACGTTTGATAAAATCTTTGTCTCTAATTACATATCGTTAATTCGCCAACATTCATAGGATCTTAAATTTCCTACAAAATGACTGTACGTGAAAATACACGTAAAATACTTTTTCAAACGCAAGTTAATATTTATCTTCGGTCGGAGATGTAGTTTATCGTTTAAAGAAATTGTTCATACGTTTGAATTATTTCTTATTTCTACGTCCTTGTCAATTTCTCGTATTCTAAGTTGACCGCGTTGAATAAGCGGCGGTATATAGTAAAAATAACCCTTATGAAAAGATCTATCTTCTGAAAGATATGCTCAGCGCGAGATGAGAGTCTCTTGATTTTCCAGAATACATACGAGACATCGTGCGCGAATACGTATACGGGAATATCCTACACTTGAATTTCACTTTAATATTAATTCTTGCTTATACAAAGTTCGCAAGTATTACAAGTGCTCTGTACTTTCAGTGTTCTTGATGTTGTTATTACGGTCAAAGTTGCCGCAGATAAATTAATTAGAGGAAAGTCCCCCTATTATGAGATATGCTTTTAACGTCAGAGGTTTTCATCGTCCAAATTCAATTACAAATAATTTTTCGCGACGATTGCGCGATCTAACAAAGAATTTTCCACTAAACAGATTTCAAGAGCAACAGATTCACGGTGGTACCAATGACGCTTGTTAATTTAACAAAGCCCTGATATCTCATATTAGGAACTTGTCTCATAATAGGGGGACTTTTCTCTATTAATTAAAATTGCCTAATTGTTTATTCGTGGGATTCGAGGTTTCAAGGGGATATCTACACATTAACACGGCTGCTATTGTAACTAGTAATCTCGTTTCAAGAGACAGTATCATGACTTATCAGCACTAGCACACCTTTATGTCGTTACGTTCTATCTACGAGCACATTTAAGGTACATATAAGGACGAGAGTTTCCTCGTAAAAGAAAACAAAAATGCACGAGGCAAATAGTAGTGAGGAAGTGCCTCCGCTGTGCTTATTTTACTGGAAAATCTGTGCGCGAAACGAGATAGCGACGGAAATACCGGTGGAATGGCACGTTAGATATCTCGGCTGCATTATTTAAGAAAGCGGTTGCCTTACGTACTTTATTTGATGCGATAGTAAGCGGAGAATAAGCTCTCTCCGAAGGACGTTTTACTGGTGATTTCGGGTTCTTTAAAATATCGATCAGTGGCTGCCAATATTTCGTTCGTCCTTCGATGCTTTATCCCGCCGTCTTGGCGATATTTGCATGAGAGATAGCGAGAGGCAGTCCGCACACATGTTATACATTGAGCTATTACGGAATTGGAATGGATCGCATTGCTGATTGAAATTGGCTGTGCACTCGCAACGGACTTAGTTGCCTTGTCCGAAAACGACGCGCGTGTCGGCCCGGCCATCAGCTCTGACGGGCCGCCGTTGAAATCACACACGTGGTGGGCACTTGTCCGGGGGAAATATGTGTATTTTGCGAATCGTCCCGGTCGGGTTATCGACCAAGTGACGACAGCCCAATCCGCAAGGTGACATAAACGCGTGAGGTATCGAGGAGGAATAGTTCGTGTTGGCGCGTGTGTGTCGCTTTCTTCGTGGATATTTATTTTAGTTCATCGATTTCCCAGATATCCGTGTGAAAGGCACCTGTATGTATCCGTGTATGTATGCAAAGTACCTAATAGCCTCAGGCTGACGGACTAGCGCGTCTCTCTCTCTCTCTCCCTCTCTCTCTCTCTCTTTCTCTGCCACTCGCCGAGTATACTCTATCGCAAAAGTGTGCTCCCCCTTCGGCTCCCTTTCGCACCACCCGATCATCCCTTCGCTCTTTCCCCTCCCTCCCGCCCTCCGGCGGCTTTGACGTTAATGGTCCATCGATCGGGCGGGAGACAGGTGCGTGGTGGTAGTAAAAATAATCTTGCAGCATACTTATATATACAAAAACCGTCGATCCTCTGCTCGAAATTCATTTTAAGATTAACTCTCGCGTAGAAAAAGTTATCTTTCTCTCTTTCTCTCGTTCACGGCTGTACCTTCCTTTTTCCATTGCGTTTCACTTTCCGCCAACGAATAAAAAGAAATGCTAAAAGCTAATAGGTGGAGCTTCCGAACACAGCGTTTCGCAAGATACTCTCAGTTTTGCTTTAAATAATAGAACCTGGCCGGAAACACGCGCAATTTTAAAGCGCTCCGTCGCACTTCGCACTCGCTGCTAATGAAGAGTACCTTTTGGTTTTAATGCGGATTATTTCGCGAAGGTATATACCGATTTTTCCCTGTTTTTTTTTAATACCCGTTTCCATTACACGTGATCGTAAAATGCAGTCTACATAAAGTGCTGTAATTAACGCAAGAAATATTCGTTTAATTAAAAGACATCAAGAATAAATATTAATAATTGCACGCACCCTCTGTATATTTAATTTAAATTTTGTATTTGCAATGTAAAAATAGCCGCTTAAAAAAATTTTTAATTGCACGTCGTACGAGAGGTTCATAATTTTTTGCTCAAAGACTCCGTTCATCATAAAATTGAGTTTTCCGCGCAAATGAAATTATTTGGATCAACGAGACGACACGGCGCGGACGCGAAATGGGTCGCTTTTCACTTCATCCACAATGAAGCATTTACTTTGTAAATACCGGTTCAAAGTGGCAGGTAAAAGAAATTTATCATTTCTTTACACAGCGTGAGAGCCGAAGATCTATAGATTTTTCGATGTATTATCGCGCGATACGTATCGATTTTATCGCGCGTCGCGCGTGTTCTCACTCCTATAAATTGTCATGACCTACAATCGAACCAATTTCTTTTCTCCTTTGTGTATTCTTGACTTCTCGAGAAAATGCACAGAATCATATTTTGCACGCACTTGGCGTTTCTATTTCTTCACACGTAATTAGTCTTGATTAGTTCGATAGAGGAAAAAGAGAAAGAGAGCAATTTCTCCTTCCGTGAAACCGAAGCACAGTACGAACAGCTGAAAATAAAGAAGCTCTTGTAAATTAAGTTTCAGGGGGTAGAGGAGCTCATTATCTGCTTGACTTCACACAAACTTTAATTTAAAAAAAAAGTTGGAACCATAAACTCGCCCATCGAAATTTAATATTTAAACGTTGTGGAAAACGACAACCATAGACATAATATATCTAGACCGAGCATTGAGCAGTGGGGGTGGAGGTTTACGTCAAAAAGGACAAACTCTGTTTTGTGCTATTTTGTTTTCTCTTGTCCACGTGCGAACGAGAAAGAGTTTGTCCTTTTCTACGTGAACCTCCACCCCCACTGCTCACATAAAGGCAAACGCTCGGTCTAGATATATTATGTCCATGACGACAACCTTCCGCCGAGTTGCCGGCGGGGAGGAGGAAGAGGGAAGATCGGAACTGCGGAATGCACGTCGCTCGCGGAATACTCTGGACGTAAAGGAAACGCGGCAGCAGATCCGGCACGGCGCGGCCTTTAAAGCGCGATTACAGCACGTGTAAACACGGAATGCAATGTATACGGAGTGCGCGCCTCGCGTCCTCGTTGGCACCCCGGGCTTTCATGTTATCCGACGTGGAGAGTGCAAGTGGAGAACAAGTGTTTGTCGACATACCGCGGCTCTCGGCCCCTCTCCCCCGTGTGTGTGCGTTCCCATTTAGATTTCGTCAACTCTCTCCTCCTCGCGACACACAACCGCGACTTTTTCAAAGCCGCCGTAACACTGAAACTGCGCGACCAAAGCTTTTGCGATTTGTCCGTTTCGTCGCGTCTGATCGGGACGCGTCACGTTGAAAGCGTCGAATCCCACCCTTCTACGTGCACCCGTGGAAAAGTTTAAATCCTAATTTTGCCGACGTTTTTCTTCTCGGAGGCATATCGACTGATCTCTTTCGAAAGATCGCGTCTCGGTTTTACGCAGCTCCCGGCTTTTCTGCTCGTTCTGGTCCAGAATGAGTGATAGAGCAGGAAAACCGGAAACCGCGTAAAATCGAGATACGACCTTGCGAAAGAGATTATGCAGGATTCACGCTGGCTCTGATATCCGACGTACGACGTTCGATATCGAATATGATACGTGTATCGGATATCGGATCCAGTGTAATCCTGCATTAGTCAATTACATCGGGTGAGATTAAGGTATTTAGCGTATCCGGAAAAATGTTCCCTCGACGTATGCGTGTAACATAATTATTTTATGTAAATCCTTTTTAATATGCGTGCGTTGATGCGTTAATTTGGATAATTTAAAACCTCATCTGCATGTTGCGTCTTATTGCATCTTAATGATAAGTGATCAATCTAATGTAATCCATTAGCTCTCAATGTCAACGACGGCGCGACGTTCAGTTTCCATAGCGATTTGTGAAGCAACATTCAATGCCGCGCAAAAATGAGCTTCGCGATCTTTCACGCGACGGTTCGTAGTATTGTCGTTTTCTCGCTGACGCGCGAAAACTAATGCGACCTTATTTTTCGAAACGTGCTTGCATTTGGAGCAACCGAATCTGAAAGGAGCAATAAGCTTGTGCGGTTGAAAAAGTTGCAAAAACCCTGTCGAATTTTCGGTGTCTGCACTTGAAATATAAATATTCGCGCTGGCTTGATTACGTAGTCCAAATGCAGACGAGGTTTTAAATTATCCAAATCAACGCACGCGTATTAAAAAGGATTTGTATAAAATAATTATGTTACTCGCATACGTCGAGGGAACATTTTTCCGGATACGCTAAATAGCTTAATCTCGCCCGATGTAATTACGGCGTAACAGATTTCGCTGTGAGTTGGGGTGTAACCCAATATCTCGCTTCATGTCCCGAAACCTTTGACACGAACTGCGTTTGCTCTTGACAACATATATACAATTCATGTAAGCTATTTAGACTCACGTGCACGTGTGTATCAGTTTAATTATGTATGCATTAGACTAATAGCTACTTTTTTGGGGGCGGTTTTCGTGGACGTTTCGCACCATCGTCTCTCGAATTTACTTCTCGTTCATTATAAAAACGGGATTTGCGCACACGTCGGCTTGGGCATGAAATTACTGTATAAAACTGGTATATGAGGATGCAAATTCGTCCGCGGTGTACGTTAAGCAAATACTTTCATAGTTTATTTCTCTAACGTAAACAGGCGAGCATGTTGAGCATATCGAGAATTAAATTACATCTATTGATTTAAACGAGAGGATCTTTTATTGTGTTACGAAATAATTGAAATTTGTATTTGGCGTTATTTGATTTATGTGTAAAACGATACGACGTGTGGCAACATGCCGGGATAATATTTTAATTGTGCGTTCGTGGAAAACAGAGACATCGAAATGGCTTCCTACATCGTGTGCCCGTAGTAATCGAAATTAAAAAAAAAACGGAAAATTATACAACGCGGTAATGAAAATTGATCGTTATATTAACATCGTTGTGACTATTTCGTGTAGTATCAGTCGCATTTTAATATTAGCGTGAACGCGTGTTTGTCAAAATGTTAATTATATAGCAATCAAAGTAATTAACTTCCTTTCACGTAGCGCGATAGCTCTGTAAATTTAATTAATTGAGTAATTACTCACGCGATCGTACACTAACGCAACCGGACAGATATTAGCCTGGACTACGATATTAAGTGCATTTACTGGACAAACTTTTTATTGGTATTCTGTTAATAATACAGGCGCGAAGCGCACAGCGACGTATTGCGAATATGCGCACGATAATTTCGCGCCTGCACGTGGCTAATTCGTAACACGTTTCTGCGGATGATCGAGTGCTATTCGTACAATAATTCACGACCGCGCATCGTTGCGCCTTCTGTCGCGCTTGGCCCTTTTCATGTGGCGAAAGTCGCGCTAAAATGATCGACGAGGAAAAAGTCGAATTTTTCCGCTGATCTTGTAGGACTTCTCATTTTACAGTTTATGCGCGGCGCTATCTGCCGTCGGTGATTGTCATACAATTTAAATTTATCTTTTATTTAAAATATATTTTTGGTTAAATATTGGATTTATACACGGGGTGAATTTTCTTTTAAAATTTACCCTGAAAATCATGTAATCGTGGGACAACACGGCATTTTGAAAAACTTTATGAGAGCTTTTTGAAATTTTACCATACGATAATAATTAGGAAAAAGTATGGTAAAATTTAAAAAAAACTCATAAAATTCCTCAAAATGCCACGTTGTCGGTTACATGATTTTCAGAATAAATTTTAAGAGAAAATTCTTCCCGTGTATCGAGGCACTTAATTTTTTCCGACAACAAGGCTAGAATATTACGAAAGAAAAGTAGGACTGAGAGATCTCTCAAGTATAATTAATCGATTATTCAGTTGACAAGTAATAGTCGCAGTTTAGCGGAAGGAGAAGGAGCACCTTTCCGTTCCATTTTAAATTGCTCGACTTAAAATAAAGGTACTCACCACCACCACCGAGTAGAGAATCTTCGCTTTTAAATCAGGAGCGTCCTTGAGGGACTCCAGTGCGTCCAAGGCATCCAGGGTATGCAAGTTAGCCTGAGCGTAGAGAGCGCCGTATCTCTCGGCGAGTTGTTCCACTGTGATACTCGCCGAGGTTAAATCTGAGCAATTTCCTTCCACGCCGAGCGCCTCGCAGTTGCTGCCCGTTACAACCGGCTCCGGAGTCGGGCTACAGCTCTCGTCCGTGTGATAACCAGCGCTGCTGGACTCCTCCTCGTAGTCGTCGCCGAGATTTTCGTCCAAATGGAAAACCTGCACGGGATAGCTCGTGATATAGCGCCGGCTTTGGACGTACAAAGTGCTTCGCTATAAAACACCTCCTTTTCTTCCGATATTTTTTGAATATTTATATACTTGAGTATTTATCCCTGTAACCTGAATATTTATTTCTCTCGCAACGAGCACTTCTGTCGACCAGATGTCCTAATTCTTTAGGACGTCTTCCCTATTTTTTCTAACTTTAATATTGACTTCCGTTGGGTTCTTAAATTTTGCGCTGGTTTTGTATTACTAGCTCGCACAATTAAACATTTAAATAACTTTCTTATCACTTTTCCTCATCGCGTATTTAATATTTGTGTTTCCGTGCGTATGGAAAATAACAAGAAATAAAATTGGCGAATATCGACATGAAATAATCGCGAGGAAATGTTGGGCTATATCTTGCTCGCGTGACGAATGAAAGAAACATTGTTTAACTGACTATTTATCAGTCACTCAATCTTTTTTTTTAAATGTATTAAAAAAATATATTGATAAAAAGAGAATGTTTTTCTTTCACGCAAATTACGTTACCGTATGAAAGACTAGAGTATTATTATCATGCGAAAGCAATCGAGTGGATGTCGCGTACTATAGAGAAACTACTGAATAATGGCAGCATCCTCTCTTCGATCCACTCGTTTTCGATTGGGATTTGCAGTCGACTCTGAGCTTCCAATTAAAATGCACTCAATGGAAAGCAATTAACGCGTTTTGGCATGCCGTGGCCGCTTTTCCATTTCGATTCTGTTATATAACAATCTAGGGGGAGGGGGTGCCACTTTCCATTCTTTTTACAATTCGCCGTCATCGTCGTCTACAAATGGGAATAAATAAGATAATTATTCGCGTATTTTTGCTTTCAATTTGACGACAGTAATGCAATCGCGGAGGCACCGCCGCGCGCATCCATTATCGACAATCCGTTTAAACACCTGACGATAGCAGGACTCGCCGCATTTTCCACCGAATTCTCCCGAAATTTCGTCAACGGGTGAACGTTGTGCGTTTACCGAAAACATTTTAGACGCCGTCGTGCCGAATATCGCCCCCGACCGAGCGCCTGGGCGTAGTCAGTTTCGTCATCAAAGCGTCGTTCTTCCTTTCTGTCTCGTTCAGAAAGAGGGACGGCGAGGGAAATATGCAAAATAATTTCGCCGTTTATATGTGTCGCCCCCCCCCCCCCGGGTTTACAAGTCGATGAAGAATCTGGTGAATATCATATTGAAATCGAGTTGAGATCATGTACAAATCAATAATTAAGCTGATATTTACAAATGCCACGTTATTCCACGATTGCATGATTTTCTGGATAAATTTTACGAGAAAATTCCCTCCGTGGACGTCCAACAGATGTCGACTATACGCAACGGAGAGACCGATACGGTTACCACATGTCTAATTAGAGTTGGCACATCCCCAATAAATAGTAATATTTAGGACAGCTATATCTGTGGTTGTCATTCCCACATTAATAAGTAGTGGAGACAATTATATGCGATTTGTGCAGCAAACTTAGGGCCAATTTCACAAACGTCGGTTAACTGTTAACCAGAGTTCAGTCAACTCCCTATCTTTTTCCGTTTTGTTATCTAAGAAGAGACAGAGAATCGATTAACCTTCGGTTAGCAGTTAACCGACGTTTGTGAAACCGGCCCTTAGAGAATGTTGCAACGCAAAACAATGTAGATGCCCCTACTATTTATACGGCAACATTTTTATTCTAGTTATTTTTGCCTTAGCCGGTCTTTCCGTGCGTTAATAAGATATCGACGAAGTGTTATGCGGCTCCCCTTACGAGATCACTGAAGAATCTAGTCGTCATCGAATCAACCGGTCCGAAAAATCATGATCGATTTGATCATCGACTCGCGGAACCTGGGCCGGTGAAATAGAAATTGCTATTCTCGTAGGGAAACACGCGTCAAGTAAATCGCACGTGTCACCTGGTCGCGACCGGGGTATAGTTTTGTGTTTCGCGTTTTTCCGAAACGCCGCTGAAAATCCTGGGCGTATCGGCCGGCAACGACAGCGTATTCAATTTGCGATCTTTATTGCACCGCGACGCACCGCGCGGCAACGGACGCGGCAGTCGGACGCGTGAAATATTTATCACGTGTGTGCGTCGTCGCTCTCCCAGCGGCGATAATTTATGACTTGGCATTAATACACGCGATATTAATCATAACGTCCGTATTAACGCTTCGCGCGCATTAATACTTGGCGCACACGCGCTCGCGCGCGCTCTCCAAAACATTTTCTCTCATGAATGTTGTATATTGACTTTGCGATGAATTCGACGGGATAATATTATTCGAAACTGCGTAATCGTGTTCTCAGTCGCAAATTTTATATACACGCACATATAAAGAACCGCGCGCGAGTTACGATGGAATTTGCAATAAATCGCATATCGCCCAGACGCGCTTGTTTTTCTGCTCGATTAAAAAATAATTTTCTATTTGATTCGCATTAACGGCAGGCCACCCCGCGTATTTCGCGGCGGATTATTAACGCGCCGCGTATATGCGAGCGCATATAGGCCGCACAGTGATATTTTATTCCGACTGAAGTTTCAGAGCGATGAAGCTCGTATCAAATGCGCGTTACGCGTCCGTATCCATTGATGGAAATAATTTACGCCCGCGAATGAGCACCCGCCCGCGGTTTCTGCTCGCGCGAGTTTTAAACACGCATCTCCATTACGTTACCATGTTCGTTTTAATCTATATCCTATCCGAATCATTGTCAATCCCGCCGCGTTTATCTATTAATTCGCGCGCCGCGCGACTCATTTCCGGATTTGATATCGAGTTGCCTACGCGGCTCCCGCGCTACTGTCGTCTCAGCCGTGAGTGTAAGCGGATGCAGGAGTAAACTCGTGTAATTTAGGTCCGCCGTAGGGCCCTTATGGGATTCCACGGTGGTTACACACGGGCGCCTTTGACATCGTTCGTGGCTTCGTCTTGGACGCGTCAGCTGCCGGAGTCGCATGCCGCAATCCCGCGGGAATCGTAGCAGTTGCACGTGTTGTCGTACTTGTGTATCGGGGTCATTTTCTCGCGCCTGACGGCGCAGGGCTCTTCTTATTGTTGCGGCCGCCGACCGCACGGGTTTCCCACGGAGCCCGAAAAACGAATCGCGATCGTATACGACGCTCCCATTGTTCTGGCAGTCCACCGTCTCTGTGCCAGAGACGTTTTCACACCTTCTTGCGCTCGGGACGGTCGCGCGAATTGTCTCGCGGGTAGATAATCGGCGATGACTCTCTTGCGCGAGTATCGCCGGGGATAACGGGGATAGCGTTATTTCTTCATCTATCCGAAGTCGAATTTCTCCGACAAATATCGTTTCATCGCCCAAGTCGATCTCCAAAGGATCGAGCGCGAGTTCACTCGATCCGTTTCGCAAAAAGAAACGCGAGAGGCGGGGAGGAATGTTCTCTCGCGTATTTTCGAGGATTAAATTCTGGATGCGTCCCGATGAAAACGGCTTCGTTCTTAATCTTATCTTAATCTTACCTGCGGATTATCTTCGCTCATGAACTGCAGGGCGAGCGCGCAGCCCCGCGAAAACTGCAACAATCTGGCGGCGAGCGCCGGATTCTTCGCGTTCGTCGGTCCGGAGGTCGATTTCCTCAAGGCCGTCCATTGCCGGAGCGCCTCCTTATCTTGCTCGACCCGGTGCTTCAGCTCCGCCAGCAGATTCTCCAACCTACACGGCCCGCCCGCTTTCTCCAAGGTGTTTAACAGGCTCTGATTATCGATCAGCCGCTGCTGGATCTCGCTGTACTTGAGGGAAAGCTGCCGCTGATGCGAAGCCGCCTGTACACCTTGATCCGCTGCAAAAGCGTAAGAAAAGATCAGGGCTTCTCTCTCTCTCTCTCTTCTCGGTCGTTATTATTATTTTTTATTATTAGAGCGGAACCGATGATGGCGCAAGGCGATTATTACTGCATCCATCGTCGCCTTTTGTGCCTCGGGCTACGTAGATAGCCGGTCTGATATCCGGTATGAACAGCGAAATCATGGATTATCTGACATCATAACTAAATATGCCGTACTTTCCTTTATATGAGGCGAAATTAAATTATGCTGCACATCCGCAGTTTCGCGCGCGAGGCACAAATTACGACAGGTTCATGCTCCAATAAGTTACAGTTCAGACGATAGCCCGTTCCCATTATATCATAACGTGAATCATACCTTTCTTTATCTGATCGATAAAGCCGCGAAATAATTTCTAGCGAAAGACATTAATTTCATTTGACATAATCAAGTTGTCGCTAAATCAAATTAAATTTCCACGGAAGGCATTAGAGATTACTAATGACGCGAAATTGGCCCAAAAACACGTTTTAACGTAATCAAAATTTCGTCACAGCGATTCGAAGATGAACGATTAAAAAGAGGGATCGATCAGTTGGAAAGGTACGTGTTGAAAATTGTGATTCGAAAGGGTGTACAAGTTCAACCATATATAAAGGAACAGTTGCTGACACTGGGCTTATTTTCGCGGGGGACGATACCGTGAAAGTAACGTTTCTCTACACATTTATCAATATTTATGCGGCGTCGCTTATCTTCCTGCGCACACTTCTTTCACATCTCTAGCACCTTTCTCTACGGAAACGTACCGGTGATGACGCGTCTCGGATTGCACGTTCTGGGAAGCGATTCGCGAACGAGGGAACGGTGCAGTCCCCTATGTAAATGGCTTAACACGCGCCCGACATTAGTCCATTTGCATTTGTAAACGTAATACGGCGCTCATGACTCCGTTAAAACCCAATGCTTCACGGTTCCGCGGAGCTCCGGTTATATAGATAGTGCGACGAACGGCCGCACAACTTTATTCCGATGGATGGAATTATGTGCTTCATTATATCACCGTAATGCCAAATCTCATTATGGAAATCCAAGCGAACTTGGCGAAAAAAATAGCGTATAATCGCAAAATATTGCTTCGCTAATCTAACGGCACGTTCGCTGCCGGCGATAATTAACGCTCATTTTTCGAACAATTAGATCCGTAATTGAAGGATAAATGTTTAACATAGGCTGATTGTTGCACGAAACTGGAATACTATAATAGTATGTGATTTAAGATTATAGCCACTAGATATTACGAGATTAGAGGAACATTCGACATTTTTATTATCGCAACGCGATAATATCCGAGCGCGATTTCTATTAACTGCAATTGAAAGCGCGTACCTTTATTGGTCCCAGAATGCTTGCCGAAATTCTCGATCTTGTGCAACGCTAATTTGTATGCTTCCGTTCGTGTCTCGAGTTCCTCCTTCAGTGCCACCGGTAAAGGCACTAGATTCGACGTAACGGAGTTCTCGGAGATGTTAGTCTGCGAGGAGGGCACCAGTCCGTGCTTGCCGAGTCCTTCTACAGCTCTCTCTAGGGCACGTCTTCGCGATAGCAGCGTGTTCTTCGTGCTGGGCGATAATCTGTTTAACGACACGAGAAGTTTACACCAGATCCGCGGTCGGAAGTGATCTTGACTGGTCGATATCAGGTGCACTATCCTCCAGAGGACCTGCTCGATCCGCAGAATCTTAGTGTCGCTGACGTTTAGCTCCACCAATCGGAAATAGAGCGCCTCCAGCAAGGTGAGGCTGTGTGGCAGCGTTTCGATCAACAGGTCCACTGGAATATCCGGCAGTGCGGCCTTTAAGGTGTAATGCGGCAGCTTCATCAGGAAGCCGGCTGCCTCCCTGTATTGTCTGCCCTCGTACAATCTCAGCAGTCTGAAAGAAAGGATGTAGTTATCACATTATCCTGTTTGTGCCAGCGTGTCGGTAGAATTTTGTCTACATTGTACAACAGGAAATTAAAGTGTGTCAAGTGTTGATTGTAAGTTAACGCAAACTAATTAATCTCAGTTACCTGCCAGGTATATGAAAGTAACATTTATTTATGACAATAAAGACACGGTTCATTTCGCACAAAATATATTGCACGACGTTTACAGCAGCGGAAGGCTTTACACTTGACGGATTTGATATTTTATCGCGCTTTTAGTGCTAAACTTTCGATTATTGTTTTAGACTATGTTGGACGTAATTTTTATGTCAGATGATCGGAATTAGACAAATGCACAAACGTGATAGAAATGTAGATAAAAAAATTATTTCTCGCATAAAGGATTATTGTCGTCGAATGTTTTATGCAATCTCGTTCACTTTGGAGGCACAATAAGAACTATTTCGTATCACATGGATGGTGCTGTTAAACGGTAGTTGAGGGATATAGTAAAGGTAGAATTGCGGATTACACGAATTTGCGGAGATTTTGTAGAAATACTGATATCAGCACGTACGCTAATAATTTATTGACGATTGTAGTTTGGATTTATAATTGTTGCTGATGCCTAGGTAATTCAACTTTAATCAGAAATACATAAACCCTTGGCGCGATTAACGTCCCATTATGCACTCGATATTTTATTTTGCGGACTGTAATGAGATGCGAGGCGAGACTAAATAAAATTACATCCTGTTCTATAATCCGATTATACAATTGGATAAATGGAAATCTGAGCGAATTCAAGAAATAAAAATATAAGTTACGGTACTTCGCGTATCAAGCTTTCCGCGACCGTTATTTGTAAATATTAATGCACATTTAAAAATCGCACAAAAGACGGATTATCGTAAAAACGCTGTTACGCAGTCGATTGAATGCACATGAGGCGGGCTTATAAATTTTATTGGATGAAAGTAGATAAAGTTTCACCTAATCACGATTAATAAAAATAGTAATACATATTTCATTGTGCGATACACACGTAATTGTGGATTAACGAGTCGCATTAAAGCTGCTGCCGGCGCTAATTATCTAAGCCCGCTAGTCTTGCATAAGCGTAACAATCAATCGCAATGGCGAGTTCCCGTTACTAAGAAGTTGCGCGTCGCGACTTTAATTTCTTTCATCCCGCGGACGAAGTAGCTCCGCTGGCGATTTATTACCGCGCGCGTTACTGCCTATTAGGAAACGGCGTTAAGCGGATTTATCGCACGATTCACGCCTCTATTTCTGTTATACGCGAATTATTTTCACGGTTGCTTTTTATACCGTAGTTTCCATGCATGCTATTGATCGGTCGTCTTCATGTAATTGATTGTCACGACGATTCCCCTCTCGATGCTCCATTAGTGCGCGACGCGTACAGCGGGATTAAATAAACCTATTACACGTCGCTGCTGTCTGTCTGACGGATATGGCGGTAATTATCTCTGATTCTTGGTTCGGGAGAGGAGCGTACAATGCGATTCGATGCTAGTTACACGCGGACAGCGAAGCGTCAGGATCTCACGTCGATGTACACGCTAATCAAAATGTAATTAACCGTATTATTGCCGCATAGAATCCTTTGTTACGATTCTCCTCGTAACGACGCATAAAAGCAATTCGCGGCACGTTATCTATTTTTAATTAGCAGCTTCTGTATACTCATTGTTCAAGATGACACGTCTAGAACGTAAAGATATGCGTGTCGCTTTGGAAGACGTATTTTTATTCCCGAGACGTATAATTGAAACTGGGTCGTCAGAAACGCGAAAAGTTTTTTTTAACCCAGCAATTCTCGAACCCGTCCTCCAGTGCATTTTTATACAAGCAAATTTTTAACGACTCAGTAGTGCTTAATGCCCATTTGTCCTATAAATTTTTTGTTGTAACAAACTTTACTCCAACTTCTACAAAATTGCGAGAACTACCGCTTTTTTTAGACAGTAACGCGCGACATTGCCTGGAAAAGGTTTGAGGATCGTTGCTTTGAAACACTAAAATTCAATATAGATCCGAGCAATTTAATAAAGTCCGGGAAATATGGTTCACGTACCTTCTCAATGCCATCCGCGGATTCGAGCCCTCGTCCTCCGGGATGCCGATATGACCGACTTGGAACTGTGTTCCGGGACCCCATACCAGCCTCTGTATTGTATTTCTGGGTCGCTCCGGCCTGATCCTCTCGCAGGAATTGATGCCGGGGGGTGGGACACTTTGCCTGCTCATCTTTATTCACTTTGCCGCCTTATTTTCCTAACGCTTATCTCCCTTCGACAAAGGCGCCGAATCCGTATTTATCTATTCCTTTCGAGGGGCCCGGGGGTTGAAACTGCCACTCGCTGCTCGAGAATTACGAGTTTACGACGGTTTCCCTCCAATTCCAGGACACACCACCTCGAGACATCCACTTCTCGGGTCGCGCCTTTTCTTTCACCGCCGCTCCGTGACTTTCACGGTCCTTTCTCTCTGTCCTCGATGCGATCTTTGACCTATCAGCCACGCATCTCCGCGAACCCTGGCTCGCCGTCCCACCTTCCGCGTATTCTTTCGCAAATTGATTTTTTTTTTACGATTGTATTCGAAGTCGAATCTATCGCAATGACGTCTCTCGCCAACTTATTTGCGTCCCTTTCGTCACCGGTGTTCGTCAGTCAAATCGATTTTCGAATATTCTGCGACGAGCGTTTCTTCAAATAGAAGTTGTGTGGCTTTTAGAAAATTACCTCCTACGTAAGTACTTGACGTGTACGACTCAATTAACTCAATGGTTCTGCGGTTAAAATTTTCTAACTATATATATCTCTCTTTCGTCTTTAGACTACTTCATTGAGAGAGCGATTTCTAAGATTGTTTGTTTGCACCGCGAGAAGACGTTCTTCAATCGCATACTGTGTCAATTTCTTTTAGGTAAACAAGTATAATTTCTCCCGTAATGCTATTCTCGTTTGAATCAATATCTTCATTTCTGCATCAATATTCCTTGATTATGCACGTTCCACTCTCATGCCCGGCACGTTAAATTGATTAGCAAGTGTTTAATCTGTTTAGCTTTCTCGTTCTTCGAATTGGTTTCTGGGATTATCATGAATAAAGTTTCTCTTCGACACATAGAAGTACAACATCTAAATTATTTTTCTTTATATAAAAATGATTTTGTCTTCTTATCATCATTTGCCACGGATGCATAAATCTTCGCGTGACAGTAGAATAATGTTGAAACATCGACTTTTATAATCGTATCCATTAGAGCGGCGCGTGCTGATTACTCTCGCTCGACCCCACGTTTTTCTTCACTTTGACTTCACTTTGTCCTTGACGAGGTTAGTCCCTTCCTTTCTCTCTCTCTCTTTCTCTGTCTCTCACGATTTTCCGCACGTCTGATCCCCGGCAGAAACGTAAGCTGCCTCGAGGCAGACCGGCGTCTAATTTTCTAACCGCTATTTTCTCCCGCGCGGACTTCTCTTCGCAATTCCGCGCTCAGAAACAGCCGACAGGAACATTTCATTCCTGATCCGCGAGACGCTTTTGTGTTTACTGAGTCTCTCAACCTTGTTTCTTCACTTGTTGAATCATGATCTCCGTTCGGCATCGGCGCGATTCCTCTAAACCGGTCTCATTATCGCCACGCAATTATCTTCGAACATTGATTGATCTTTAGAACGATCTCTTTTTTTTGTACGATCCCTCGCCCGTTTCTGATCATAAGGTGTTCGGGGCCAATTAATTTTTCGCCTTTCTTTTCTCCCCTGTAGCACAAAATCCACTTCCTCTTCTCTCTCGCTCTTTCGGCCCGTCTCTTTCTTACGAATTTCCTTCCGTCTCTGGTCCTCGAGTACTTAATACGAACTGGCCTACAGCCTCGGGGCTGAACGGCCCACTTCTGCGTGAGTCAAGCTGGACCTGCGGACAGAATTATTCACCGTGAGCCGTGAGCTGTGTTCTTATCCGACACCAAGTCCGACACGCTCGGGTGAAATGTTCTTTCACGTGCCCGCCTCAATACAATCCACGTGTGGTTACATCGAAGGATCTGCGTAAATTCGCGATATGTACTTTTCTTGTAAAATATCGAAACTTGATGATGAAATCCCACCACTTCTGCAGAATGTCTCAGTATTATCGAGAAACACTTATTAAATGATATCTCGGAATTATATATAGCGCGTGCGCGTGTTAAGTGATTCTTCCGAAACGAAAGTGTTACTATGTTATAGGCCATTTAAATCGCATTAAATATGAAAGCAAATTTTAATCGAAAATAGTTGAAGTAAAAAATATGAAGATCAAGTTCTATTTTTTGCATACACGAACAAAAGTCCATTTACAACTTTCCTATTATTTAATAGAAATATGAAAAATATTTAACATAAATTATTTGAAATATATTTTTATTATTTCTATGCATTTAATGTATTTAAATATATTTCTCATTAATTAAGATGCACGTAGATACTCTTTTTTTTTTTAGAAAAATGTATCGCAATGGAAAATCAATAGCAAGAGAGTGATTCAAATAACTAGATATTAATACTCGAAGGTACGCGTCTCCAATTTCTCTAAAAGCGAATGCTCTGTATCGTAAAACAAAAAGGTGAGAAGATACAAGTAAATTCAAACAAAAGCTATCACAAATAGAATGAGAATCCAGCTATGACAGCTATCTCATACACTTTGTACACACGCGCGCATCCCAGCGGAATAAAATATTTTGTCGGTAGTGATGCGACACTCTATAGCGACACAGAAATGGAAGGTCCATGCATGATGTATTGGATCTCGGAACTGTGTGGTGTATAATCTTGCTGGCGCATCAGACGCGAATATCTAGCAATTTTTAGTATATCTTTCTTGGAAATGTGTGGCTTTTATGATATAATAAAGTTCGTAGATGAGAAAAATTGAATGAAAGATTTTTACAGAAAGAGAAAGGGATGGAATTATAAGAACGTCATTCGCAACGAATATGAAAAAGAGTGTTTGCAATAAATAATCTATAATAATATTAAAATTACGATTTTTTGGTAAGAATAACAATCATACATTTCTAAAAAATTATAAAGTAATAGCATTTCTATTATTGGTAAAGTTGATTATGAAGCCTTCTAACGTGATAAATATAATTCTCTAAAACTTTCATTTAAATCTCGAATATATAGGTTACAACTGTCGAGTGATTAATGCACAAAAAGCGCGCTTTTCAGTAGAGTTAAACGCATATTTAATGAAACTTTTTTTTACATTTATTATACTGAAGGGTGAGTTCGGCCATTCTACGTTTGCATACGGTAACTCAATTTTTTTAATTACTTGTACATTCACATAAAAATTTATCGTCATACGAGAGAATAAAGTTCTCATAATTTTTTAATTACCATAAATTTAATTAAAGTTCCTTTTTTATTAATGGTACTATAATAAATTAACGTAGGCTTCATGTTTGCCTAATAGGAACTCTAAAAAAATAGTCTAAAACACTGAAACTATTAGTAAGTTAATTAAGGCTCATTAACGTTAGTTATGAGTTTTTTTAGAGTAATTCACACGGTCCGGAATTCATTCCTATTCGGGTAATAAAATGCAGTCTCAAATTTCGTGTCCTAATATGAATTTCAAGCGATTATAAATTAGTATGACAAGCTCGTTAATCGATAACCATTTTGTTCTTAAGTCTTATAAAATCTGAGATATAATTTAATTTTAAATCATAAACCATATGACAGAAAAAAAGAGTTCGTAAACTAATGTACTGAGTTGTTCTAATTATCAAAATTAGATAACTAACTGTATAAAATTATTGTAAAAGAAAAGAAGAGTTCAAGATTGTTTCTCGTTGAGAGAAAAGCTTACGCATATTCCAGAGAAAATATTTGATTCTCACAATATATGTCCTCATAAAAACTAGATTGTATTAATTAGAGACTTGCGAAAGTATTGTGACGGGAAGCATCTTCTGATTCCTGATGTCTATCCGAAATATCCACAGGATAGATTTTCTTCTGAGAGTCAATTTTTGCGAAGGGCCATCACAGCTTTAGAGCGATCTCGGATCGCACGATCCGGAATTTTCACAGCGAGCACACGTTGCACAGTATCGCGAACTCGTTACGCGAGATCGAGCACGTTCACACTTAAGACCGGTACTTGCCAGGCTTGCGACGACGATACGTGTTTTTGCTGGTGAATTTCGGATGATACGACATGTCGACCGCGAATGCGAGTAAGTTCTCGCTCGTCTTCGGGGATACGTGAGGTCCCGGTTCGGAGACTGGTGGTGGAAGAGTAGAGTGGAGGTTCTCTCTCGTGAGGAGACTGAACGACTCTTGCGAGATCATCGAGCACGTGGGATGAGAGAGAACGCCGCGGATGAGAAGTGAGGCGGTCGGAGAAAGAGTGAAAGAACGAGAGGGACGGAAAGCGGCGCGAGAGATCACAAGTGGGGTCTGTGAATGAGCGCGTGAGCGAGAAGGAAAGCGGCAGGAAGAGTGAAAGAGCACGTAGGAAGGTAGATACGCTAAGCGGAGGATGAACAGAAGCCATCTGCTCCACGGTGATATCTGTGAAGTGTCGCGAATACCGGAAGAGGAGCCCTCTCGGCTGATGGCGGGCAAAGGAAGCGGAAGAGCAGGGAAAAGCGGCTGCGGGAGACAAATGACTCTGAATACGAATCAGCATAAAGCAGCTGCGTCGAGACTATGACAAGAGACTCTTTGTGCCTTTTTATGCGCAAACACGCCTCTTTGTTCTTCTTGACATTATGAAAATTATTATTCGCGCGTGTACGGAGAACATTTTAACAACATTGTTAATCCATCTGTTAGGCAGCTAAAGAAACGTGTTTTAACGAGCTCGCGGCTGTATGGGGCTTCTCTTCGCGAGGAAGAAGAGAAGCGTGAGCAGTCGTTCGGGAAAGACATGATCCGCCTGGTTGAGGGGCAGGAAGGAGGAAGAAGCAAAAAGAGGAAAAGAGGAGGGGTGGGATGCTGCTGGTCCACCGCTGCCGAGACTGCGACCTACTGTCCTGCATACCGTTCACGGCACAACCTGTGCTGCGCGGGGAGTCGGACGCGCGGTATACACCCGGTAGAATAGAAAAAAAAAGAGGACCATAAACTTCCTCTTAACATATGCTAGACAGGCAGGCGGTTATTTAGCCGCGGATTTCCTTCCAATCCGCATCCGATAGAGAGTTTACCGGAGAAAGGTGATGTCGATTTGCTTCGTGCCGCACGATCCGCCAACTTTTCCCGCTAAATCACGTGTGCCCGCAGCATCCGTGCTCCGCGCGGATGCTTTCCAACGAGAGGATGCTCCTCCGGCGTGCATTGAACAAGTCTGAGTTTCGACATAAACTTACCTTCCCCCGCGGGGCATTGTCCCGGACAATGCGAAAACGGTTAACGAGCGGTTTTCTCCGCGCGTCGATAAACCTTCGCCGCGATTTAACTCGCGTTGTTCCTCCTTTTCCCCGGATTTTCCCCGTTTTCGAGTGGGGAAACATGAAATCGATCGAGGGAAGACTGAAGTGAACGGATATCGACGAAACTGGTTCTGCGAGACGAAACGTCATCCTTCGGAAAACATAGTGAAAACGCGGAAAAGTTGATCTACATTCCAACTCTGTTTGCCACGCATGCGATATTTGAAATGGAATTTGCATTTCTCTCGTAAAGAGCTAATGCTAATTTGCTCTTAATTATTTGTTAACATTATACACTCGCTTTTGGTTCGTAGGAAATTTTTCACGTGCTCGGTAAACAATGCAAATGCATGCATTAAAATGCGAATAAATGAGCATTCTATAAACAACAGACCTTCCGATCGAG